TGTGCCACCACACCCAGCTTTATGTGTTCATTCTTACTCTCTCTTCATATTTTCTCTTTTTATTTTTGTGCTTATTCCCAATTATTCCTCACATCTATACTTCAGTAATTTTTTTTCATTTTGACTAATCTGTTATTAAAACCCCATCCATTGAGTTTTCAACTTCATTGACAGTACTTCTTTGTAGAAATTCTGTGTCAAACCTTCTTTATAGGGGGCTGGGGATTTAGCTCAGTGGCACAGCGCCTGCCTGGCAAGCACAATGTCATGAGTTTGATTCCTGGTACCAGAAAACAAACAAACAAACAAAAAAACCTTTTTAAAAAATAAATCTTTTTTATGGTAACTTTTCCACGGGAGTTTTCTAGATTATATTCTTAGATTACATCCTTTATTGGAATATTACTTATTCACGTAAAGGATAATTATTTCTTGCACTTTTATCTACTCTTTTATTTTTTTAATAATATATTATTGGTATATTTTAGGCAGTCATAATTATCATGTTCATCGTAGAGAATTTGTACCTGTAATGATATAATTTAATTCTTTTTTTGCCCCATTCTCCTACCTTCAAACCCTCCTGCCCTTCCCATTTACAAAAGCTCTGTTTCCACTTTCCTTCTTTTCTCACATTTTTTTACTTTTCCCTTCTTTCCTTTCTCTCTACCCCCTCCCAGGTTCCTCTCCCCATTTGAGTATTTTCTTCCTGTTTTGCAATACCTAATATACATTTTGTTTTGTTTTGTTTTTTTTTGGTTTTTCTCCGGTACCGGGAACCGAACTCACGACCTTGTGCTTGCCAGGCAGGCACTTTGCCGCTGAGCTAAATCCCCAGCCCCCTAATATACATTTTGGTCCTTATTTACACTTTAGGTTTGTCACACCAGAGAAACAATGTGGTATTTATACATGTGTGTCCAATTTATTTCGCTTAAAAGCATGGTCTCAAAGTGCAACCATTTACCTAGGAATGTCTTAAGTTTATTGTTTATTTTTAAATTTTTTTTTTTGTCTTTTTGAGACAGGGTCTCGCTTTGCAGTTCAGGCTGGCCTTGAGCTCACTTTGTAGCCGAGGCGGGTCTTGAACTCGCAATGATCCTCCTGCCTCAGCCTCCTGAATGCTAGGATTACAGGAGTGCGCCACCACCCCCGGCTCCCCACTTGTTTTATATCCTTTTCATCTGAATAACTTTCTTCAGCATTTGGAACTAATGCTTTTAGTTTTTATGCATCTGAGAATGTCATTATTTTATCCTTATTACTGAAGAAACTTTTCATGGGCTATGGAATTGTGGTTCACAGTTCTTTTATTACTTTAAAAATATTGTTCTACTTTTTCTGGCCTACATAGTTTTTTGAGCTTCTTGAACGTTAGAGTTTATGTCTTTACCAAGCTTGGCAAATTTCCAGCCATTATTTCTTCCTTTTTTTTTTTTGGTATTGTACCCCATGTCTCTGAGGCTCTGGTAATTTTTTTCAGGCTATTCTTTGTATGTTGTTCACTTAACTATTTCTTTTAATCTGTCCGCCAGTTCACTGACTCTTTTTGTTGTTGTCCTTGTTGTTGTTCTGGGGATTGAATCTAGAACCCTAACACTATGCTATATTTTCAGGCCT